AGCTGAACATTTATCTCCTGAACAGGCCAATTTGGATGCCAAGATTCTGGGGCAATTATTGTTACGTCCACACCTGTGTCTAAAAGACCTTCAATTGCAACATCATTTATTCATATTTTTACTTTTGGTCTTTGTTTATTTATAGAAGTTTGCCAAAAAATGTGCTTTATGGCTTCTCCTGAATATTTTGTTCACTTTTCTATAGCTGTTCTTTCATCCAGAATAGTATGGTTTTTAACAGTAAGCATTAGGTTTTTTAATTTCTCTGGGAAGAAGTTTCTTCCATGATGAAATGGAAAGGACTGAAAAGAATTTGACATGGGGGGGGGGCTACAAGAGGCCCCTCAGGGCATTTCCTGATGGCAAAGGCAAGTGATTACCTCATCTGGAACTTTTTGATCTACGTTCATTAGTCCATTTCTTCATTTGCCACACCTTCTGCATAATCCAAAAGGGAGAGGTATTCTGTTGGGATTATTCCTTGAAAAAAATATTGTTTCTTGGAATGCCCTGTTTACAGCACCTTGTTAGGTGACCTTGTTAACTGCAGTTGAAACTTTTGACATTACTATTTTTTTTCAAACCTCTGGAAATCACCTCTTCTATCTAAGTACCATTGTGGTCATGAGATTCAATGTTTATTTTATCTTGCATCCATTCCTCCAAGGGTGCTGATCTTGCCTTAAACAGCCTAATTACCATTTTGCATTGTGCATTAGCATTTTCAAAAGCCAGAGATTCAATTATTATTTGTCTAGCTTCTGAATTTGGTATCATTCTATTTACTGCTGAAGACAGCCTTTGTAAGAAATCAGTGAAGGTTTCTTTTGGGCCCCGTATAACTTTTTTTAAATGACTCTATTTTCTTTTCTACTTCAATTCTGTTCCAAGCATTCAAGGCTGCTGTGTGGCATAAAGCCCTGGTGTGGACATCATATAAAGATTGTCTTTGTACATCAGCATAAGTGCCTTCTCCAAGAAGTTGATTTGGGGACATTTCAATACCTCTAGCCCTACTCTATTATTCAATGGCCTTAGCCTCATTCTCCCTCCAGGTCCTCCATTGTAATTGGGGATCAGGCTCCATGACTGCTGTAACAAATCTCTCCAGTCTTGAGGGATAATTCTATTATAAGTTGACCAAAAGTTTAACATCTCCTTCACAAAAGGTGAGTGCTTGCAATATGAGACAATTGCTTTCTTGAATCTCCTCACATCTATCATTTGCACAGGAGTCCATTCAACTCTTACATATTCTTGGGGATATCTATCATTTGGCAGTTCTTGTAAGGTTACTGGATAAATTCAGGTTGGCTGTTTGAAAGGTGTAGGCAGTTTCTATGTAAACTTATAATGAAATGCTGAAATTAGTTCTCCTTTAAATTCCTCTCTCTGGGTCTGAATATTTCTGTGATTTGCTTTAATAAGTTTTTCTAAGACTTATATCTTGGCACTAGTATAAACCAACTTTTTTTAGGGATAAAAGAAGAATGGTCAAACCAATAATGTTTATAATTGACATTACATAAATCCCATCTATGTTAATTTTCCTCTCATTTAGATTGTTCCATTTTCAAACCATCTAGTATATTAGCAAACAAAGACCAAACACTTTCCGCTGTAATAGTGTTTCCCACTTTTAATGTGGGGAAAAAAATCTCTCTCTCTTTAACTAATTCCCTCTTTAAGAAATCCCAGTTGAATTACCAAACCATCTTACAATGATTATTCAAATGACGGTGTGGCAACAGACCAATAAGGGGCATACAGAGAAAGCCATAACCCACCAGGAAAGGAAAGAAGCAAAAGAGACAGCTGTCTGCTGTGGATGTTCTATATGTCCTGTGGGAGCCTGTTCTTGGGTTCCTTGGGTTCCTCGTGACTTTACCCAGTAGGCCCGCATAGAGGATGATTAGGACCATGGGCCTGAGTGCAGGTGTCTGAGATGGTCTGCACTTGGCTGTGCTGGGGGATGGTCTGCATGGCAAATGTGTTGCTCTGATTGGTCAATAAATAAAACCTGATTGGCCGTGGCTAGGCAGGAAGTATAGGCGGGACTAACAGAGGAGAAATTAAAGAACAGGAAGGCACAAGGAGTCACTGCCAGCTGCCTGCCAGGACAAGCAGCATGTGAAAATGCCGGTAAACCATGAGCCACGTGGCAGGGTATAGATTTGTGGAAATGGACTAATTTAAGCTATAACAACAGTTAGCAAGAAGCCTGCCATGGCCATACAGTTTGAAGCAATATAAGTCTCTGTGTTTACTTGGTTGGGTCTGAGTGGCTGTGGGATAGACAGGTGACAAAGATTTGTCCTGACTGTGGGCAAGGCAGGAAAACTCTAGCTATAGCTATCTGCACGGAGCAATGTGCAAAAGTGGCTAACTCCTGTTGCATTTGGAGCTCAGAAGTTTGCTGCAGATAGGCTGCAATGGAAACTTAGCCAGCAAGTAGGGACTCTGGCCCAAGCAGGGTGAAGACTCCAGCTGCATGTAGCTCTGGCCTGAGTCGGTGGCTGCAAAGCCAAAGGCAAACAGGTTTTGTGAATTCATGCCCCAAAAGTTGGACACCTGATGTTTTATGAATCCTAATTGGTCTTAGAAAAAACCTGGAGCCAAGTATCAGGGTGAAAGCCAAAAGATCAGAGAAGCACAGCAAACCAAAGCTAGCATCTCTTACCTCACCTACTCTTCAAGCTGAAAGAGAGCTAGTTCCTGTCTCTTCCCTGCTTAGATTCCTTTGTCTTCCAGGCATATCACTTCCTGTCTCTACCTTCCTAGTGCTGGGATTAAAGGGATATAACATCACTGCTCAGTTCTGTTTCTCTTTTAGACTAGACTAATCTTATGTAGCCCGTGTGGCCTTGTACTCACAGAAATTCAGATGAATCTCTGCCTCTACCTTCAGAATACTAGGATTAAAAGTGTGTGCCACCACTGCCTGACCTATATGGCTAACCCTGTGGCTAGCTCTGACCTCTGACCTTCAGGCAAGCTTTATTTCCTAGATTAAAATGTATCACCACACCCTATCTTATAAATTAATAGTAAACTTTAAACAAAGGTATCTCAAAGGGTAAATAATGCTGCTCTCAGTCACTGAGACTATATAATTGAATTCTCTGTACCAGGTAATGGTTACCTGCCTAGGACTTTGTGGTGATATTGTATTCCCCAAAATATTGTACACCCTAATAAACTTACCTGGAGTCAGAGAACAGAACAGCCACTAGATACAGAGGCCAGAAAATGGTGGCACACACCTTTAATCCTAGCATTCCGAAGGCAGAGATCCATCTGGATCTCTATAAGTTCAAATCCACACTGGAAACAGCCAGGCATGGTGACTCACGGCTTTAATCTCAGGAAGTGATGGCAGGAAGCATAAAGGTAGGTAAGGCGTGAGGACCAGGAACTAGAGTCTAGTTAAGCTTTTAGGCTTTTAGCAGCAGTTCAGCTGAGATCCATTCAGATGAGAACACAGAGGCTTCCAGTCTGAGGAAGCAAGATCAGCTGAGGAATTGGTGAGGTGAGGTGGCTGTGGCTTGTTCTGCTTCTCTGATCTTCCTGCGCTCACCCCAATACCTGACTTCAGGTTTGTTTTTATTAATAAGACCTTTTAAGATTCATGCTACAGGACTTACTAATCAGGGAGGTCCCATCATCACCCTAAACAAAGCAGGTTGTTCCCAGTGCTCTTGCTTGGGACCATAAGTACATGTTGTAGCTGAAGACACCAGTTTGGTTGCAAGATATAGAGCAATATTGAACTTGCCACGTGACTCCCCCTGCTGGCTAGCTTTTGTAGCACTGTAAGATTCTGTGCAGACTGTTGGCAGAGAAATTAAGTCAACAGTCTAGTTAACTGCTGGGCCATGCATTTTACAATAACCTGCTAGACAAAGTGTGAGTATTGGTGCAAAACTTATACCACTGTTTATGGACATAAACAAACTGTCTCACGATTGGATTTCAAGCCTTCACCACAGAGAGGAATTCATGCCATGGTAAAAAAAAAAAAAAAAAAAATTACTTGGGAACTATAGGTTGTAGAAGCTATTGATGTTTTGATAATGGTCATGAACATTAATCTAAAATCTAAATATTCATGTTTAAAATTATGTTTGTATTACTCTCAACATTCCAGAAAGAAGTCTCCTCTTGCAGTAGGTAGTTGCTAATGCATAGATTCATAACACTTCAAAAACTACTAACAAGCAACCGTATAAGCCTGGGGTAATTACCATTGTTTTATGGCTTAGGGAGAGTCTCACATGTCTCCTTTATCTCAGTGAAAGTATACTAGCAGTTAATGCAAGTTTTATCATTTTATTATAGTTTCAAGTAAATCCTCCGCAATTTTGGTTAAGTATTTCGAAATGAATTCCTGCACGCCCTTAGAGATTTGTTTATCTTGTTTTGTTTTTTCCAGATAGGATTTCCCTGAGTAGCCCTGGCTGACATGGAATTTGCAATGTAGACAATACTGCCCTAGAACTCACAAGGATACACCTTCCCCTGCCTCCAGAGAGCCGGGATTTAAGGTGTATGTCACCACATCCTTAGTGTTTGAGGATTTCTAAGTTGTATGTCAGCATTTGAGTGATGTCACATTCATAGCCTATCTCCTCACAGTCAATTACTTTCTTGCTATTTGTATGGTTTGAATCTAGTATGATTTTGAAGATGAATAAAAGAATTTATCAGAATGTTTTTGATGAATTTACTTTTATCTCTGCAAATAGAGCACTATTTATATAGTTTGTCAAATTAAATGCAGTTCGGGAGGTGTAATTTCCAATGGACAGAAAGACATGGAGAGTATATACCCTCTAACATTCTCAGATGTATGAATTTTGTGGTATACAGCACTATTAGAGAGAAAACTAAAAGTTCTGTCATAGTGTTTATGTAACTCTATTAGGATTTATTTTTTGACAAAGAGTTTATGTAGTTCTGCTGTCTTGGAACTCAGAATGGAGATGATGTCCTCCAATTCACAGACATCTTCTTACCTCTGCACCCTGAGTGCTTGGAATAAAGAAGTGTACCACCACACCTGCCATATTATGAATTTTTGGATGTTGAACAAGACAAATGTTTTATTACATTTTTGACCAGGGGTGGAGACATGATTTATTGTGTAAAACCATTGTTTGCCCTTCCAGAGGACCAAGGTTCACTTCCCAACTCAAGTGCAACAGTTAACAATGGTCTGTAACTACACATCAGGGGATCTGATGACCCCTTCTGTCCTCTGCCCACGCTAGGCATACATGTAGTGCATGGATATACTTACAGGCAAAGCACATATATACATTGAGATAATAAAAAAGCTTTTCCCACTCTTATATTTGCAGAATTTTATTTAATATAAACTCTAGGATATTTTTTAAGATGTAAACCTTCATTAAAGATTTTCACAAGTTTATGTTTCTATTTTGTAGTGCTGTGATCTGAAAGCAGAGAACTGGAAAATGCTATGTCACATCATTTACAATGGTATGTTTCTCTCCGGTATGAATTTTCTAATATCTTCTAAGACTCAGAATTAGGATAAAGGATATATCAGTCGTTGCATTTGTATGGTTTCTCTCCATTATGAATTTTCTGATGTGCTCTGAGGTAGGAGCACCTTGTAAAAGATTTGTCACATTCTTTACAACTTAAAGGTCTCTCTCCAGTATGAACTCTCTGATGTCTTCTAAGATTTGACTCCTGAGTAAAGGACTTGTCACATTCCAGACATTTGTAAGGTTTCTCCCCAGTATGAACTATCTGATGTCTTTTAAGAACTGTGAAACTGGTAAAGGATTTGTCACATTCCTTACATTTGTAAGGTCTCTCTCCAGTATGAACTCCTTGATGTTTTATAAGACTTGCAAGATCAATAAAGGACATGTCACAGTCTTTGCATTTGTGAAGTTTCTCTACAGTATGAATTTTCTGATGTGCTCTTAGAGATGAGAATCTAGTATAAGACTTATCACATTCCTTACATTTGTAAGGCTTCTCCCCAGTGTGAACTTTCTGGTGTGTTTTAAGGGCTGAGTGGTAGGTAAAGGATTTGTCACATACCTTACATTTGAAAGGCTTTTCACCAGTATGGATTCTGTAATGAGTTTTAAGATATGATAATTCAAGAAAGGACTTACCACATTCTTTACATTTGTGCATTTGCTCTGGATTATGAGTTTTCCTATGCCTACTCAATGATGAATAGTGGGGAAAGGCTCTGTCACACTCATTGCATTTGAAAGGCTTCTCTCCAGTATGGACTCTGGAATGATCCTTAAAGTGTGAAGGACTATGAGAGACTTTGCCACATTCTTGACAAATATAATTTCTCCTAACAATATGCTTTTTCTGATGTTTCTTGAGAGTGGAAGAGTGGGCAGGGGAATTGTCACATTCCTTATATTTGTAAGGTTTGTCTCCATTATGCAACTTCTGATGGCTATGAAATGCTGACAACTGATGAAATGACTCTCCACATTCTTTGCATCTGTAAGGATTCTCCCCAGTATGAAGTCTTAGATGTATATCAAGACTTGAAAGCAGGGTAAAAGATGTTTCACAAACATTGCACTTGTAGGGTTTAATTCCAGTATGAATTCTCTCATGTTCAGTGAGGTATGAGGCAGTCCTGAAGCATTTCCCGCATTTTCCACATTGGTATGGTGTCTCTCGAATGGCTTGTTGCAAAAGACCGTATGCAGAGGCAAAATAGTCATCATATTCTCCCTGCCTGTGCTCCTTTGCAGTGTAGAGTCTTTGATCTTGAGTAATGATGGAACACAAATTTAAAGTTTTCCCATGGTCTTTAGATTTGCAAAGTTCTTCTCCAGTGTGCATGTTTTCATGTCTATCTAGGTTTGATGAGTCAGTAGAGGCATCCCTGTGGTTACTGCAAGTGTAGTTATTAGAGTTTTCTGTAGTTTGACTTGTTCTATAAAGTGCACATGTGGAGGGGTCATAAAGCACTTTCCCAAGGTCATTACACTGACAAGACTCCTTTTCTGTCTTCAGAAGTTTATGAACAGGATCCCATCTGTAATAATTCTCTGAAAATGAGCAAAATTTAGATTAATAGGGTTTTTTCCAATGATAAGCATGTGATAAATGACTGTCTCCCTAAGTTCTCTTTTAAGATAAGTGAGCCTGGAACTACTTAGATTAGAGTTCCCAGTAACGGACATTTTTCATTCACTGTAATTGTGTGGATACTCACAAAAACAGCATGAAAGCCTTCAAAGGTCAATGATTTATAACAGATATCTCATCTTTATCAAAAATTTATAACTGGAAAAAAGATGGAAAAATAATTTACGGCTATGAATTAGCTTTGTGAGAGAGCTCACTGAGTGATTATATTTAGAAAAGATGTCTTCTCGGAAATTGATGAAGAGGAATTTAATCTGATCCCTGGTACACAGTATTTACACTTACTAAGTGATAGGCAATGACAAGTACTGTTCAGAAGACCCAATTCCTTTCAAGATTAAAGTCTTACTGAAAAGCATCACAGGGCTTATTTTTTTTTTCTCTAGAAAACACATTAGATACTTCAAAAGTAATGGATGCAAAGACACTATTCTGCCAGACATCAGAGGCTCTAGATCATTTGAGGCAGGGCAATCATGGGCAGCTATTGATTATTTCTATCCTCCAGTGTCTGAGCTCCACACACTGCTGTGTTTCCGAGCTTTGCTCACAGGGTTATTCTCGAGTCTACTCTGTATTCCAACTGACTCCCGAAATTATTTCCTGGAGGCTGTCTGTGTATTCTACATTGGGAAGAAAATGAAGATGTAATATGATGATATGCAAACAAGGAAGGAAATTATAGAATAATCCTACCTCATGGATTCACATTAAACTTAAAATTTATAAAATTATACCAATCTGATTTCAGCATAGTTAAATAAAATTTCATTTTGTACTAGTATTAAGTCACCATCATTCAGGACTAATAAGACACAATGCCTTCCAACAGTTATTTCAACAGACAGGTTGCATCCTGGGGCAAGACACTACACTAAGTTAAATGATCAGGCATATTTTCTTTTTTTTTATTATGTATACAGTATTCTGTCTGAATGTATATCTGCAGGCCAGAAGAGGGCGCCAGATCTCATTAGATGGTTGTGAGCCACCATGTGGTTGCTGGGATTGAACTCAGGAACTCTGGAAGAGCAGTCAGTGTTCTTAACCGCTGAGCCATCTCTCCAGCGCCCAATCACGCATATTTTTCAAGTGGAATTGAATATGGTAAAAACATTTTCAGGTCTTGCTTTCTCCTTCACTTAAAGTATTTACTATTCTCTTGCTTATTCACTAGCCAACCCTAGTTAAGGCTACTGTCTCCTCCCCACTTTTCAGGGTAATTTCATTCTTTCTTATAGGTGATCACATTTACCTTGCATACATAATCCACATGTTCTTTGAGCAAGCCCATGACCCATGCTAGAACTTTCAGAAAGAATACAGAAGTCTAAGACAGTATTGCTCTCAGTAATTGAAAACAAAGCTGAGGAATTTAGGCAAGAATTCTTGATTAATATTTGTAGTCACATATTTCAGTATATTTAGCATTTTCTGTTTATATATCTTGAATTTGTCTCACAAATAAAACCATATCATTGCAATAATGGACACGGAGGTTTAAGATATGAGTGAAAATAATATATGCTACTGAGTTTATGGATGAATCTTGGAACCAAATGAAGGATGGATGATACCTCTGAAACGGAAAATGGAAAGAGAAAACTAAATAGCATAAAAAAGTTTTTTCCTAATACTAAACTTTGTCTTGTCTCCTGTTGGATTTTTCAGGACAGCCTAACAGATTTTATGTCCTATGAAGGCAGAACAAAAAAAAAAAAAAAAAAAAAA